CACAGATAATGACAGCCTAGAAAAATTCTAAATAAACAGCTTTATTCTGTTCAAATATGTGTGGATTCATTTTACTATACATAAATAAAGATGTCGGCCTGCATTTATGAGAATCTCCAGTACATACGCAGTGCTTAATTGTACATGTAAAATGTATTGTCTTATTCTAACCAAACACGCATGCTAAAACTGAGAATAAACCAATGGAAATTTTAGAATGAAGAAGGGTTTAAGATGGTTTGTTGCATGTAGCATCCCATACAGTCAGTTTTACAGAAAAAATGTTAGAAAAAGTTTTATCTGTTCCCACAGCGGTGATCAGACCAAAACACTAGAGACAATGCAAAGTCTAAGTCCTCCAGGAGAATTTTTTTAATTACCCCAAAATGTCTGTTCATCAAGACCTTTTAGAAGAGCAACAGCCAGAAAGTTTATCAAAAATGGCTAAATGGTCCAAATGGCACCCAGTAGATCTGTCTCTTTGTAGTTTGTACTAAACACAGAGCTAATATGAGCAAGCAAGCAAGCAAAGTTTATTTATATAGCGCTTTTTACGACAGGTGTTGTCACGAAGCAGCTTTACAGAAAAGCCCCCATGAGCAAGCCAGTGGTGACAGTGGCAAGGAAAAACTCCCTAAGAGCAACAGGAAGAAACCTTGAGAGGAACCAAGACTCAGAAGGGGAACCCATCCTCCTCTGATCGACACCAGATAGCAAACAGTGTTAGTATAAAGTATTATAGTACAAAATGGGGAAAACAGGTGGAGCAATGGTTAATTAGATTAGTTTTAGTTTATGCAGCAGCAGCAGCATCATCGGGAGGGTCAGTTTATGAGGGTGAGGTTTGCACAGCGTTGTACAGCATGAAGCTCAACGGTGGTCAAGCCGGTCCAGAAGGCTGGCGAGCAGTGGGCACCCGATCAAGGCAGAAGAAGCAACAGCATCAGACGCACAGGATGGGCAGCTGTTCAACTTGGCAAAGAAAGGAAAACACACAGAGTTAGTTCTGTAATGAGTGACTGATCACAGATTACAGTATTAACAGAGCAGCAGAGACTCAGAGACGGCAGGTCTAGTTATTGCAGCCCTTTACTAAAAGGGAGAAACCAGAAGGGAACAGAGACATTAGGGCTCCCTGAGATGTTGGCGCCCCTCCACTCTACCATCAGCAAACTTTAGTGAACGCATGAGAGCAGCAGGCCGACAGCACCAACACCCCCAGTTTACCATAGTACTCTATGACCATGAACCCCCAGATCTGCACTTTTTATCTGACAGGGAAAACTAATTACCAAAGGCTTGACTAAACAAGTAAGTTTTTAGCCTAGACTTAAAGACTGAGCTTTATAGGTCAATAAGAAATTTTATCATCGATGCGAAATTTAACTGGCAACCAGTGTAGGGTTGATAAAACTGGATGAGCTTGATGCAACTGAGAAATTGTTAAGTTTAAGTGTAAAATTAGACAGTTTGTTTCTTGCTGCTTTTGGACCAAATATGACGGAAATACTATGCAATGCTATCTCCTCTCCCTTAGATAAACAGATTATAGATCAGTTCTGTCTCAGCTGGTTCAAAGTGTGTGATTTTACTCTGTAGGCATGTTTAATAAGATAGGTGACAGAATTTCAAGGTTACAGTGACAAATACTTTCTCACTTTAGTTCAATTAAATTCAGTATTAATTTTAACTGAAAGCTTAAACAACTCTCCCTCACTTTCTTCTTGATCACTAACCTCCATCAGATCTGCTTCTTCAGTCCTGTCAGTTTAATCAGCTCTCCTTCTCTTCCTGTGTTTAGCAATACATTATTTTTTACTAAACTCAGATTTGCAAGAACCCAATGAAATAATGAGAGATCAATCAATTCAATTTAAAAAAAAATCTTCTCATCTGACTGGCCTTCAACGGAGCTACCGCCCCTGAATTTTCATCTACAGGTTGAAGAATTGAGAGATATAAAATAGTGTTATGATCAACACTATATGGTCTTTTCACTGACAGTAACAATATATGGCAAATACTGGTGTCACTGTTTCCAAATACTGAAGAGAAATATAAAAATCGCCTCATGTAAACCCAGACCGAGTAAAAACACGATAGCCAGCTATACTGACCATAATTTGCCACGTATCCATATTGTAGGTGGGTAGTTAGTCTGTAACTACTAACTGTTTCACTCTGTATATTATAGATTTTAAATGAGGTCTAATGTTTATTTTAGTGACCTTTAAGCCAAAATCCTGTCTTCAGCTTCAGGTTGCCAACTGAAGTCACTTTGCAGAGCAAGTAAAACCAGAGACCCTCCCCAGGTCTGATATGATTGGCTTACAATTTACAAGGTCCGATTTGATTGGCTTACAACTTACGAGGTCCCATCCTGCTATCCACAGTATATTGTGAATTTGGAGTTTTGATACATAAATAAGAATAATCTATAAATTATTTAAACTAGATATTAATGTACATTTACCTGGGAAGAGGGGACTAAATATCTGGCCTAACAATACCGATGTGAACTGCTAAAATACAAACGAACTGTTCTTATAATTTTTATTACATATTTATACATTAAATAATATTCATCACAGTTATACACATACCTAGTGTGTCTAACCAGATTGTTCACCACGGTTTGCTGCTCTGACTGTACGAAAAAAGGCAATATGAGACATTAGGTTGGCCTTTTTGTTGAGTAGATGATGGCGTTTGTCTGATTAGCTTCATGACGTATTAAAAAGTTAATGTAAAAATTAGTTCAGTGCAAAACCGAAAAAAAGCAATCGCAAAAAAACGAATAGGTCACTATAATGATTCACGACTTCGGATTATTTTTCAATTCTTTGAAAAAGACAAAGTTGTGTGTATCTTCCTCTTTTTAAGAAGCTAGCTAAATTGGCTTCGTATTTTCCAGCAGCTTCTTTTTCAAATTTCCGGTCCACTTTAAGAGATGCAGCAGTTGCCGTTACGGCGCGCCAGCAACCGTAACGTACCTGCAGCGCCATTTACGGAGGAAGCTGAATAAGGCAGCTTCATCCTATTTTCCACTATGCTCCGTGAAAAACATTGTTTGTTTTGGGTTATATCCTTCGTTCCTTGTGGTGTTTCTAACCATTGTTTATTTCAACCCAAATCATGAGAGAAATGTAGAGCTGCACTGCAGGACGTGTCGAAAACATTTCTGTTGCGAGCAGCGATGCATAGTTTCAAGTCTGGTTGGAATATAAACAAAATCACGCTACTCACATTCACACTCTTTCCTGCTTTTACACTCGCCTCCGTCAAAATGCCCCTCGAGCCAATTACGATGAAAAAACAGCTTTAAACACTCTTAAAGCATGCATGTACTTCAAGATTTTTATGTAGTTATGTAGCTATGTCCCCCTAGCAAATTTGTTTATAGATATGTACACTGTTATATGTATATTTTTATAAGTGTCTTATCTGATGGTGTGTACTATGTTTTGCCTGCAAGAAAAAAGGTGAAAAACGGAGTCGAAGAGTTACCTGACACCTAGCATTTTGACTCTTAGAGTCATTGGCCAAGAGTCGACACCCACTCCCAGCTGTGTTGGAGTCGAAGACTCGATTCTTTTGGAATCGACTCCTCACCATCATCCGCACCCAGTACCCCAATTTGGCAGGAAAACCGCGAACCTGAGTTCAGCTTTAGGTTCCGATTCTGCTGGAGTTTATGCCTGTTACAAGCACGCGCTGCATTTAACCCTTTAACCGTCACATAAAAACTGGACGGCTAGTGAGACGCAAGAGAAATGAGAGAGAAACAGCGCCGTGTTCATGAGGGAGTGAAGCTGCTTAATAATGTACCTCTATGGTAAATTCAGATATGTTGTAAATAAGGTGGAAACGATAGCTATATAATATAGTTCAATATAAACTTTGTGCAGTAACAGTTATTAACTTACACATGCAGCTACAGTGTTAATTAGCTAAGTTAGCTAGCTAGCTAGCTAAAAGTAACGCTAGTAAAGCTAACGTTATTTGTAAACCAGCTATTAGCCAACAAGTTAGCAAAATGGCTTGAGAGATTATTTTGCTTTGGTTTTCACGTTTTATTGTAATATCTTGTTATTAATTTGATTATAACTAACTTAATCTGTGTTGGCGTATACTTTCTCAGAAATGTTAATGTTTTCATGAATTGAGGTGCATATAGCCCGCTAGCCCGCTAACATTAATTAAAAGTGGCTAGTCAGCCATGCATTTGCAAGTTAACCCTGTTTATATTGTTGAAATATTATCAGTGTATTCCTTCTTTTTGGATTTAATGTTTTGACTTAATGACTGTAAATGGCTGTACTCAGTCACCTTTAAGTTGTAATTCATGAATGATCTATATTTCAAGAATTTACTGTTATATTCTAATGCATACTTCTTGTTACAAGGTTACAATGTTCTTTAAAATACCATCAAGGACTGTTTATTTGGGGCAAACACTAAAATCTTATAAAACATAAATGATATTTAATTGTAAGGAGTCTGTTGTGAATTGACACAGAATTGACCTCTGCTATTCTCTGTGTTCTTTAAGTAAGAACTGTTGGAAAATCTTAGCCAAAATGATTCAGAAATGGTCTATTAACAAGAAATGTTCAATTTCTTTTGAAAGGAATGTTTGTGGAGTGTACAGAAAATATGCTGTAATAATGCAAAATCTGTTGTGCATGATTTGGACATCATTTTTACACATAAACATGTAAAAGATTCAGAATATTCTATTTATGAAGTGTGGGGATTGTCCTCTATGTACAAAATTATTTACTGCTATTTACCAGAACTTTCCATTAAAAGACTGGCAGTGTAGGCAGTGTTACTGCAAGTGTGATGATCAAATTGTTCCATTCTAAAATTAATTAGAAGGCATTCAAGATCATTTTTATAAAATCTTTCTAAAAACATATTTCTTTAAAAGCAAATCGCCAAACACTAATTGCATTTTGCTTCATTTTGATGCTGTGGTTTCTCTTTGTTTCCTATAGAGGACCCCCTTTTGAGACAAGATGACATCTGGTTGTTAGAAGGTGATGACTCCGTTTCCCATGAGCCCCTATGTCGAGCAACCAGACCTGACCGTCTTGACTTTCTGAGGATCACACCACCAGAGGATGATATTATTGGAGATACACCATACCACCTGAAACCTGAGCTTACAGTAAGTGGACCGAGAATCATGGCTGGAGGTATGGAAGAAAAGAAACACAATGGAAGAAAGAAACCTGACATGCAGTTATGCACTCTAAAATGCACATACTCAAAGCCTTAAGCTCAACTTTGTCGTGTGTTTTTAGTGTGGCTGGGTACAGTAGCTCCACAATCACACAAACATGGAGAATCCCACCCCCCACTTTTCTTTATGCTGATGCTAGCTTTACAGATGTATAAAGTGTGCATTGACATGGCATATAGGATTATCAATTATTAAATTAATACATTTCTGAAAGAAAAGGTCATTTTGTTAACATGGGTGGTCATGACCATTTAGGAACAGAACAGGGTAAATAAAAGCTAACAAACTGCAGATAAACAGATGGACTACAGTCTAAACTACAGAATGCACCTGTATGGTAAATGTACATAATACAGTGGCTATTTTTATTATGTTGACTAACGTATAATCTAAATTAGTAATTAACTAGTGTTTAAAGTGGATCTTTAGAATTATTAGGTGAGAAATGTATATGTAGAGACATTTCCTAGTAGGTGAAACAAACCTCACTAAGGCACTGAGCCAAAACGACTAGCTAACTTTGATTTGTTCTGTCTTAGATAAGATTTTTTTTAATTGATTTGCTTGCAGACAGTGGTTCAATTGCATTCTTCCAAACCAGTGGAACAAAATCATATTTTCTGTGGGTGTGAATGTTACACCCAAAAACTCATAAACACGCTTATATATGCATGCCTGGAGACCTGCAACAGTTATGGAAAAAAGAAGTCTCTTTTTAGACTGAAAGCAGCTGTGTAAGAATTCTGTAGTGCACCTAATTCACAGTTTCAAGAGCTGAATCATGTTAGAAAGAGAGATTTTGCTTGTAAACAGCAGTATTTATAAATCTGTTGGTAGGTTAGTAAATTGGTAAACTGGTTAAGGTTAGAATAAGAACACTATGAAAAGTATTTCAGTATGTCTAGCTTTCTCTGCTCACTCTGTTTTGTCTGACCATGACTTGGCTATTTTTCGGTGGGCCCAAGTTTTAGCCTGCATACGCACTCATCATTCATGACGTCTTTTAAAGTGTTGATGGTGTTTTTCAATTTCAGGCAAACTTTCTGCATAATTCAGCTGTTGAGATGTAAACAAAGTCAATTTGATTGGATGTGAAATGGTGCATTGTCAAGAAACTTACTGACTCAGATTTTCTTTATAATGGTGGTGAAATGAACCGGGGTTGCAATGTCTACAGTGCAAATGTAGCTGTTTTATTTATTGTATACAAAATGACTAGTGAACCTACACATGTCTACTGAGTTTTAAATGTAATGCTGATAAAATAGCGTTAAGTTTGAAAAAAGAAGTTTTCTTTGAGGACTGTTGTGCCTTAAACGCCCTGCACGTGCCTCTCTGCTATGAAGGGATTTTAAATTTAAACATTTCAGGGCAAAACTTTTTCTATCAAAAAACAATGTCTCAGGCACCAGACAGTATATTCTATATAACTATTTTGTGTAATAATTTTCTGTGATGTAGCTTTTAGAGGCATTAAATGCTTCAGACGTCTAATTCCTGACTCAGCAAGTTTCTCTAGAATTATGCATTTCACATCAAACCTGAATGACATTGTTTACATCTAAACAATGAAAAATAATCGATAGAATTACAATTTAATGAGGAAATCTCTCAGCCTTGCCGACGGTGTCCACTAAAGCACCTCATGTGCTTAACACTGTTTAGCACAAGCTCAGCACTGTTCTCGTAAGTGCGTGTGTGTGCGTGTCCACACACACCCCATGCAATCAAAACGGTACACTCCCAAGACAGCACCAGTAGTATTCTTGACAAAACAACAGAATGCAGCTTAGCTCTGATCCTAGCAAAAGATAGAGAAGGTGTGGTCGGTAGAGTAGATGAAATATCTTCAGAAAAAATAGTTTTTTTGACTTTATTCCACAGAAATGATGATTGGCAGTTCACTTGTTTCTGCTGAAAGCCGTAATGGTTATCATAATGTTTATTTTTCTTTTGCAATTGTTTCGCATTCCTTCTTAATGGGACCCTTCATCTAAATGCCAACCATTTAGATATGACCTTTGAAAAGGTATGAGCATTGCAGACTCTTTCTCATAGAGACAGACACACCTAGATTTCAGATGCATGTTGGACTGTGTGTCTAGGTCAAAGCCTTTCAGAGATGGACAGTAGTACCAAGACAGTAGTGCTTCATGAAGTCAAAAGAGAAACCTAGGCGAAACTACAACACCTTTCTTACATAAGAGCAGCAAGTGGGTCTGCTTTGAGGATTAGATTGCTTTTAATCCCCACATCACCTCAGTATAAGCCTAGGAATTAACTTTATGTTGCAAGGCTTAAGCCTTTTATCCAGTGCCAATTTGTGAAGTTTCTTACCGAAATGCTAATGATATTAGGCATATATCACTTTTTTTTGTTCTGTTTCCTTATGTTTTACATTTTAAAATCTTTAATCCTCTTTGGGTTCATGAACATGGAAGCACAGAAAAATAGCCTTTTCTTAGATTCAAATGTTCATTTTGCTGAAAATATTACACAAGTTTGGGAGAACATCAGGCTAGTTAAAACAAAAAAGTTTAGTTAAAGACCTTAACAGCTAACCTTTTAAGACCTGCAAAACACGATTCACCAGCTTTAAATATAGCTTGCCAGATCTCCTTGGAAACCATGTCAGAGCCCTAAGCTCTAGAGTTCCTGAATGGAATGTGGTACAATTAGACCAGCAATGCCCTTAAAAAACCTTAAAATACCAACAGTAAGGAGAAATGGGCAAGCAGTCCCAATATGACAGGACTTTCAGGTTATGATGTTTTGTCTGAGTAATGTTAGAATGAAGTTGATTGAATACACATAGTTTGCATGTACACCGTGACACCATGAAAAAGAAGGGGCATTGATAGGAATAGATATTGGGCTGAGATAAGCAGAAAATGCTGTATATCAGACAGGACAAATAATTAATACGATCCAGTCCTGAACCTAGTTACAAGACATTGCACACACTGACATCATGTGATCTTATGATGTTAGCTGTATATTTTTCCTACACATTTAAAAATGATTCTATATAGCACCAAAAAACATTTGTCTACTGTTACATGCTTGATGACGAAAAAAGCTTTTTTGTGCTAAATAGAACCCTTTTCAAAAAGGTTCTATATAGAACCATCTACAGCACATTCTCCAAGAATCTGAAGAACCCTTTCAGAATGCAAAGAACCTTTTAATTATCCAAAGGATGCTTTGAGTGTTTATGGTTCTATATAGAATCATTTTCTTTATTAAAGAACTCCTAAAGAGCTATCATTTTTAAGTGTATACTTTTAGATACTAATTTTAAGAGAAGTGTATCAATTAGAAATAGCTCATTTTAAAGCATAGTATTTAAAAAAAAAAATTTGGAGTACAGTAAAAAGAATCCTCCAATGTTTAATTTGCAATTAAAATGATTTGCCTTTTTGTGTACCGGTATATTAGACTTTCTTTTAAATAACCACTTGAAACAAGACCTCTAGACTCCTTTCTCAAAAAATTGTGCTCAAAACATCAGAAACATACTAAAGCTTTGGCTAATAGGCTAGCCGGTTTGTTGATGTGGCAGTGTGGAAAAGCAGAGGCGTGGTCTCGGTGGCTTAACCAGAGCAGCTTAATGCCGGTGTTGTAATATTGTGTGCAGAGTGAAGCAGCAATGCCCACTCCACCTGACTCTGAAGGAGATTAGCAACTCAGAGAGCTTGAGAGAGAGAGGGGGCAGAAAGAAAGAGAGAGAGAGAGGGGAGCGAGAGAGAGGGAGAGAGAGAGGGAGGTAGGGAGAGAGAGGAAGGGAGGGAGGAAGGGAGGCTGTACCCGACGCCATTATAAGGAAGTAAGTTTAAGTAATAGGACACCTGCTGCTAAAGTTCTTTCCCAGGAAGTAGGCAGGGGAAAATAAGGGAGGGAGAAACAGAAGCATAGGTAAACTAGTGTGACACACCAAGCCTGAGTGACTTTCTCAAAGGCAGCACAGAACTTTCTCCGGTAGACAGACAAATTCTTACATTCTCAAGGAGCAGGAAGGAGGCACGGCACTAGGAGGCTAGCTTGTACTGCAGACTGAAAGACCGCACTGAGGAGATTTCTGGACCACCCTGCTTGCTTATATTCAATTGGATTGACGTGTAGCTTTTTCTCTCACAGTGTGTATTACTAAGCAACTTCAAATTCCCAGCTATCCAGAGAGATTAAAAAAATGGGGACTGCATTTTAATCACAAGACATTTGTTGTGGCCAGGATTGTCAGATGAATCTTGGAAGCACTGGATTATTTTTTTCTTTGGCTGAAGGATCCAAAATAATGTTGTGGAAAAGGATAAAGTTTTTGCTCTGAGAACAGAGTACGGCTCCAATGCAGCTTTCCGTACCAAAAGAAAGGAAGATAAGAGGGTCTTTTACGGGGCAGTAATTGAAGCACTGCTGGTGTGGGTGAGAGGAACCAAGGTATTTGCCCTCACAAAAGGCTTTGTGTCCTCAACCAAATGGAACTGTAGCACATACAGGTGGAAAAAGGGTATTTTGTGACACTGACTGGATACACCGGAGTGATTTGTGGAATTTACCTGGTCAGTTGTATTTGAAGTGGTTTGGGGAAGTGGTTTAGGGAAATCTGTTAAATGATCCCTAATCACAGAATGTGTTAGCACTTATCCTAACATTCAGGAGAAGAATCCACTTGGGTTACTGTAGTATCCACCCTGGGGCAATCTGCTGTCCTACACTATGTTTTTGAGGGCAGACTCTCAGCGGCAAGCAGGGAAAGTGCAGTGCTTAAGTCATTCCGAACACTGCCTGAGGAAGAGTCATGTTTACACCCTGTAAACAATGGTAATCTTGAGAACAGCTGTAATAGTGTTGTCGGCATAGATCTTCCAGGAACAGCACTTAAACATGATGCCAGCAGTACTTTTGAGGGAACAGTTGAATCTTGGGAGATTGAGTCCTGTAAGGAGAAAGTTCTGCCATGCTCCCCCTTTTCATCTTGGAGAAGGCCTTTTTCCACTTCTTCCCCTGTTGTGGCAGACTCAGATTTGGTGCAGGTAACCAGAGTGGAGACTTACAGTGACACAGAAAATGAAGAAGAAGAAAATGATAGGATCCTTGGCCTGTCTGGTGAACAGGAGCCCACTGAAACATCCTTCTCTCTTCATAAGGGTAAAGAGACTGATCGTAACTCGGATCAGGTGCTCAGTCACGATAGGGGGAGAGATGTGTCTACGGCAGACTTAAAATTGCCTGTCCTCACAGCCAAAAGTGTTTTGGAGCGATCTCTCAAAGACATCTCTGTTCTAAAGAAGTCATGTTATAACGGAAGGCTCGACAGGCAGCTAGACTGCTCTTCTCTCCAGTCAGACAATTCGAAGCAAAAAATTCTGTCCGAGAGCCCTTGGGAGTGTGCAGATCTTGCCGGCAGAGATGACAAAGCTGTAGATATGGGCTCAAATGTGTCAGCTGCCAGTAGTTCTACTGCAAGGAGCTATATCTATCCAGTTGTGCCTGAAGACTCCAGTGACCATGAAGAAATTTCTTCATCATATATGACTGAGGACTCTCTTCATATGCCCTCTTTGAGTGGAAATTGCTCAGACTCCTCTTCGCTTTCAGAGGATCTAATTTCTCATCAACAAAGGGGCTGGAGAACAGCTCAACCACCTGCATCTCTTTCAGTTGAAGAAATCAGTGGCACCAGTTCAGAGTCCTTCGACTGCACAAGCCCTACCTCTCCAGACTCAGCTCCTCAGCCAGGGAGCAGTGTGACAAAGGGCCATTCATGTACGGACCAGGAAGAGTCCCCAACTGACTCTGTGCCAAGTGCTGTTTCTCCTCCTTCCCAAGGCAGCAGACAGAGTACGCCTGCAACCAAGAGGACCACCACGGACCCTTCCTCCACTCCCTCTCCCAGATCGCTTGCTACATCCACACCCAGGGAGCCCTTCCAGCTGCCCGCCCTGTTCAGTGGACTACGAGTGCTGAAGAAGGGTGCTGTGGGGGAAGAGAGAGAGACTGTGTCTGAGATCAAGCAAAGGGACGCTGACCGAGCATTGCTGAGCCTGAAACAGCACGTCAACAAAGCTAAGTTTGAACAGCAACTAGCCTGCACCTCTTCCCCCAAAAAGAAAGCTGTACCCAAAGATGTGGCTGAGCCCAAGAGCCGGTTGTGGCGGCTTCTAACTTTTGATGATGCCAAGAATGAGGAGAGTAAAGATAAAGAGTCCAAGGACATCGTAGACCTCAAAGCAGAGGAAGAGGGGTTAGCAGGGAATGTTGCACAGGATGACACTGAGCCAAATGACAGCAGCAAAGGCACAGATACTGCATTTGATGCCTTCAAGTTTTTCTTCAGTCCTAAGCCCCTTAAGAAGGATCCTGCGGATGCGTCAGTGGACCTAGAGGCTATCAAGAGGAAAAGAAAGAACGAAAAGGAGTTGCTTAAGGCTATCTTTGAGAGATCTGCGAGCAAATCGCCTATTAGTGACAAGAGCACAGCAGAGGTCAAAGTATGTATCTCTCAAACAGCATTTAGCTGTAGAAATTTTAAGCATAAAGTTGTTGCTACATCTTTAAAGAAATGCTCTCAAAATTTGGCTAGATCAGCTCTCCAAGGTGCAGTTCAGGCTAATTGCAGCTTCTGTCTTTAAATGTAATGTTGGAATCATTTCATATGCTATTATATTTGGTTTGTATTTAATTATTCTTTTGTGTCTGCTTCTGAAATTGAATTACTTAAAATGTAGATGTGACAACACAGTTTGATGATGTGTTAATGATGGTCTTTCAAATATTTTGAAAAAAATTTTGGTTTTCTCTCTCTCACTTTTATTCCCAGTCTGAGGTCTCCTCCCCAACTGACAGCGAAGACAGAACACCTGGGCGTCTTCAAGCAATTTGGCCCCCGCCCAAACCTAAGGATGAGGAGGAGAAAGTGGGACTTCGATATACTGAAGCAGGTAGTCTTTTTTTTAATACACAAGTTCCATACAGGCTTCTGTCCCAGTACAGAAATATACACTTCTCCACCCTCTCTTGGAACAGGCCTCCTCCTTTCAAAACACTTCTTACATCTTAATCTAATTTTAAGGTGCCACAAACAAGAGAAGCAACTATGGCTTTGTGGTGGTCATTAGAGCCACGGGTGTTCTGTCTTTTAAAACTGTTTAAAAGAGGAATGCATGTTAAGCTGTCCCTGGCCATGATATCCCTGTTTGTGTCTCGTGCAGTTAGAAGTACAAAGCAGAGCTAAGAGCAGTAAAGCAGTTGTACTTTGGGATAGAAATAGCCTACTACATTACTCATTGCCAACCCTCCAAAATACCTGCAGAGCTTATAAGTAAGAGCATGGATTTAGGCCATAGAGCTTTCATTTCTTCATCTGACTGCTTTGTAAAAAACTAAAACAAAAATATAAGATAACTTCATTCTCCTCAATGATTATTCCTTAAAAATAAGATTTTGTTGAAATTTCAGTCATTACACTGAAGAGTTCATTTCCTTTAATTATTTTAATATTTTATGTGTTTGTAACAGTCACTCCAGCCCAGTTCATTCATTTCTGGAGTTGGAAAGTTCCTCACAATTGAGAAAATACAATTCAGCAATTCCCACACCCTGCTATTAGTCTGTAACTTTATGCTTGTTGTCTGAGAATTAGCATTCTGAAACATTCCTTACACTGGGCTAGTTGGCATGAATATAAAGTAATACACATTAGCTGGAAACCAGACTTTCTTATATCCCCTGTTCAAACAAACATTTGAACAGTGTATATTCGTACTTTGCCTAAGGCAGAATCTCGAATCTTTAAACATAAGTTGAAACTAGGAAAGGGGAAAAAATGTGTGGCCTTCTGGAGCTAACATGCTCAAGCGCACTGAAAACTTTGACGTTGTTTGTACTTATTTCTCATAATTGTTATTACTTAACAAAGGCTTGTTGTACTGTCTGCCTGAAAATTCACGTGTGCTTATTTTCCTGAGAAGAACAAACTGACCAAGTTATAAGAGTATGGGGCGTGGTTTCCCAGAGTTCTTAGCGATTATCTTTTTACTTCAGGTGTCATTTTCACATGAACAGCATTTTCACTTGTTATGTATAGGTTAAATATGAGTTTGGATGCACAAATATTTTGAACTTGATCATTTCAACTGTGTACACAGGAAGAGTCAGCGTAAAATGCATAAAATATACAAAGCTTTATAAGGGAGACAATGTTTATGTAATCAGTGTTATAAATTTAAGCAATCAAATCTGCTATGTTGCATAGTACTTAATTTTACTTAAGAACTCAAGTTACCAAAACACTACACTTACTGGCCATTTTATTAGATACATTGTATTCACAGTCATTTTCCATTTTATCAGCTCCTCTCAGTATACATAACAGGTGTAGCTTGTAATTCTGCAATTATATACTGTAGTCCATCTGTTTCTCTGCATAATTTCATAGCTTAATTTTACCCCATTTTATCAATGGTCAGTATGCTCACTGGACCTCCACTGTGCAGGTATTTGGTTGGTGAATCTATCTCATGGTAGTACATGGTACATGCTAGTGACATGTTATACATCTGATTGCAGTTATTTGAGATAATTGCAATTATTTAATCTGACCACAATTCTTTTCATTCATTAGATTTCGCGGTCATTGTATCACAACAAGCACAATGTGAGGTGGATACACTTTCAGTAGTTGGCTTTAGCCAAACATTTGTTACGCTTAGTACAGTGTGATGTATCATCTCTGGTTAGCTAGAAAGTGAAGAGTTACATAGACAAGACTGCTAATAAGTCAGTTTAGCTGCTCTATGTTATTAAATGAATAAAACAGACAATTAAATGGCTAATCACAATTATTTACTTAATTAATTTACTAATTTAATTGTTGACAACAACTAATTGCCAGCTAAAATTTCATGATTGTGGCAGGCCTAGCTGGTACGAATAGACCCGGCAATGTTACTGGTGTTCTTAAAAACTGTTTGCATAATAGAAACCCCTACCTTGTTGACCCATCTTGTAAAGTTAGAGACGAAAACTCATCTGCTGCACAGTTTGCTGCACAGTTTGTGTTAGTCATCCTCTAGTCCTTCATCAGTGGTCAGGTTCTGGCCACAGGATGTTGCTGCCTGGTTATTTTTGGATGGTTGGCTATTCTCAGTCCAGCAATGACTCCAGTTGGACAGAGAATACACCACTGTATGTGATCCAGCACACACACACACACACACACACACACACACACAGTAACATGCCTCTATCATGTCAGTGTCAGTTAGAGAATGATCCACCACCCATTGGCCACTGATGAACACAGTAAAAGGGGGCTAACAAATTATGGAGAGACAAAAGTGAACAACAGTCTGTAAGTGTGGAATGGCTCCAGCCAAAGTGGACGGCAAAATGGACAAATGCCTGTATATACAAGGTAGATGTAAAAAATAAAGTGGTCAGTGAATGTACATTCTTTAAGTGGTACTTACCTTATGTCTGTTAAACTTGAAGACTTGTATGTATTCAACACAATAAAAACTGTTTCAAATTTTAAATCATTTGAGACAACAACTTTCTTTAAATGGTTTGAGTTAATTAAACTTAAAAGTTATTTAAAACTAACTACTTTACACAATGATTTATAAATGTATGTGGTAATGAAAACAGATCGGTTTATGTATTATTTACCTGATGTCTCCATATGTAGATGTTTCCAAATCTTAGTTTGGGAGTACCAATGTACTGCCCAATTTTGTGTTTTTAACCTGCTCTGGCATTCTAAGCTAATCAAGGGCTTGTAACTGCACTAATGGATTGAGTTGGGTGTTGGGAACAGAGAAAAAACTAAGATGTGCATTGCAGGGGTATGCTGGGATCAAGATTGGGAACTATTGTTATTCTGCCTTCCCTGTGTGAAAATATAAAAGTCCAGAATGAAGAAAAAAGTGTTAGACTAGCCTTTGTTAAAACTGTGCTTCTGTGAAGATACATAATATAACATTTAAGTGATGGCAACCTCCTGTTGTGCATATTACAGATATTTAAATAATGTGACCAAGTGTAGGACATTATATGTGCAAATACGGGGAATAGAAATTACATCACACTGAACTGTATTGGTTTTAATGTTTACCCACAAGGTGGGGCTATGTAAGCAGTTATACGCTGTTAAATAAAACTTTGAGAAGAAGATCCTGAATAGCAGGAGGTGCATTTAGTCATCATCAAAGAAGAGTTGAGAAGAGTTGTCCCATCTTTGCATTTTAAGATTTCCTCGATGCCATCTGTTGAGGAGAATCAAAATACACCGTGAATTCAAATTGAATGGCCAGAAGAAAATACTGTTATGGGTTTTGGTAAGGATTTGTACAGGGCAAACTGGTCTGAGACCAGCACTTCTACTTGGAATCATGATTTGATATTGTTTGTTTCTAGAGCACCAGGCTGCCCTGCTTCAGCTGAAGAGAGAATGCAAAGAGGAGGTGGAAAAGCTGCATGTAAGTCAGTGTCATCTACTCTTAGATATTGCAGTTCCTTCGAGATGCACTAGATGTCAGCATAGGCAAGTAAAGTCAGGGAAGATGGCATCTGCAAGAATCTGCTGTGTGTTTAGCTGTAAAATAACATCAGTAAATGCCTGAGGTCGCAGAAATGCATTGAAACATAAAATGTACACAACTTTGAAGCTTATATGCACCTAGAGATGAAGGTATATTCAAAACCAAGACAGCTGTAGGTTATTCTGCTACCTTAGTGTATTGTGCTGCATTTGGTACTGAAATGAAACTTTCTGGAGAAGTGCATTTATTTGCATGCTTCCCTTTTATGTTTCTCTTGGGCTAATTCATACAGAGATTTCTTTTACAGCTCAGGTCTTGTCATTTTCACACATTCATGCAGATTTAAATTCTCACTTTTTATTCTATGACAGCTCTTTTGGACAGTATTTTACGTATAAGATGTTCTAGGGCTATCATTTTTCCATTTTTAACATTTTCAGAACATTTACAATACATATTCTATCTAAAGGCTTTTGCTGGTGAAACATATTGTAATTTAGGCTACAGTTTATGTGGCTGGAAAAGACAAAGCTTCCAAAAACTACTTAGAAAAACCAATGTAATTAAAGAATATTTGAGTATTCACATTATTAATGTGTGGAACATGTAATCTATCAAAAGTTTGACAAGTCCCGCGAGACAGGAAGGAAGCCCAGATATCATATGTGGCTTATGGTCTGCACTGAAAGCCTTTCATAGTGTATTAGGCCTGTTGCTCCAAGATTTAGACTGTTTCTGCTCTTTAAGGTCCAGTTATCAGACATTAGAGGATGTGTCTAGGTTACCATTAACAGTTCAGACATGGTGAAGAACGACTGAAACTAGGCCAAGAGATCAGTTTAGTCCTGAATTAATACAGAAAAAGGTCTAATAAAAACTTGTTACAGGAATGGGTGGAACTTGTGCATAAGATCTCTTTATAAGCTTAACGAAATGGACTCTTACACTATGAGGGCCCATATTTGAATCCAGACTTCAGTTCCTCATTATTTGTAACTACATATTTGCGTTCTAGTTTCATAGTAGTTGGCGTGTCATTTGTAGGAGATTTTGACAACAATATTTAGCAATTACAAAACTTAATACAATTAATAATATTGATAACTGCATAATAATCCTGGTGTCAAAGTTGTTCAGATTAAAATATTTAATTTGTTTTAGCCATTAAGGGATAAGAGACAAAAGTGGATCTGTGAAAAAACGCTTTTGATAACTCGTTGTGAGGTGGCAAATGCTAACACGTTGCCACAGGCTGAACATGCTGCCCTCTGACTGTAAACAGCATAGTTGGATATGAGGGCAGAAGTGAGTGAAGAAGCCATAATGGGGTGATGGTTTCCAGATGGAGGTCTACCTCCTGCCAGCTCCTCCTATGAAATAAGATCATGGTCTACAAGCTGGATGCGTCTCGGCCTCTCATCCATTGAAAATGTGTGGTCAAACTGTCTCTGTCCTTCAGGAAACTTTTCCTTGTATATTTATTTCATTTATTTATGTGGCTTCGCTGAAGTATTGGTTTGAACGCCCTACTTGTTCCATGCTGATTTGTCTGCTGATAGAAAAGGTCTAATGTTTATGCAGTTGAGCTGTGACTGGCAAGACTGTGGCATCTAAAGAGACTCTTCAAAAGCAGTTTCACACACTTCTCAGGGGAGAGGATACATTTGGCACAGATTTTTTTTTTTTATCTTTCTGTTCTATAAGGGGTTCACTGATGTAATGATAGTCCTAGATAAGACAGGGCGTTGATTTTAGAGTTGTGTTTCCAGGCACAGATAGGCCTAGATTAGCAAGATTAGTCTGGTCTTGAACTTAATCACACAGTCAATGGCCATTCTTTTTTGAAAATCCCTTTCTATCTATGTGAGACACAGAATCGGTGTTGAATTACAGCAACAATACAGTTTTCTGCTACACATTGTCTTCTAAATAGGTTAGTTAGAAATGGTAAGAGAATTTCAGCCCTTAGTGTGACTGAACTAAGCTTACTTTCTTGATGTAGCCACAAATTCTACTGAGAAGTCATAATTTGCATCCATAAAATTGGCCATCAGTGTTCACATGCATACACTATTATAAACATACAAGCTGTTAACAGCATAATGAGCCTCTTTAAAACATGATTTAAATGTGTGGGCCATTAGGGAGACATCAAATTATGTGGCATACATCATTTATGTTGCATAATTTATTTTAGTCTTGGAAAATCTTGATGTCTTTTGGAGAATGATTCATGTTTTTATATGCAGTAAAGTCATGTAATGTGTTGTTAATTGACTGTGTCTTAGTGTCTTGTTTGTCACACGCACATTCGATTTAAAGCAAAATGGACAGGGGATGTTTAGTGCTGACAAGGAGTGGCAGCGTATGGGAGTAGACAGCGTGCCTTGCTCAGTCCTGTGCAGACCACGTTATAACAAGAAACATGTGGAGGTTTCATTGCAAAATGCTTTTCTTCTCAGTCTCACTTTGGAGTGTGTTTGTAAGCACATCTCCAAATTACATAATGGGAAGTTTGTCAAGATGGTTTCCTTTGCATTTCAGCCAAACCGAAAATATCTTGAGTTTGACTTTTAGGGCTGAAAATGCTCAATTTTAACACAATGTTTGTGCATGTGACAAGCTGATTCCTTTGTGCATTGACTCACTATGTCAAGCCACTACTAGCTGGTTTCATGAATGTGTTAAACGTCTTGACGTTGTCAGTCTACATCAGCGTGGGCCGAAGTTCACCTGTGAGGACTTTTGATTTAGCCCCTAGAAAGTTACCATAACCTCAGCCCTCACCTAGTGAGAGAGCAAACATATTTTTAACGTTTACATAACTTGTTCTTTTCTTTTAAAACTGTTGATGTATGACAAAATATAGTTTCATGCAAAAAAATGCATTTTAAAAACACATTCTACAAAACTTTTTTTTTGTCTTTTTGGCCCCATGTAACCAATATATCTATCATTTTCACATGTGCACAAATCCAGGCCAACTTTGAGCTCCAGGTCTTCCAGTTGCGGGGAGAGCATGCTGTGGCAGTGTCCCGGCTGGAGGGAGTCATTACCGAAATGCAGCGGATGCAACAGAACGGCTCGTTGCAGGAGCGGGGGGACCTGCGGGAGGCCTGCGTGTCCACTGAAGACGACATACCCCCCAAAACCTACCGCACCGTCTGCATCCAGACTGACCGCGAGACCTTTATCAAGACGCCGCCAGAGGGGGACGGACCCAAGTTGACTCCAAGCCCCAGTCTCAGCCTCCCCAAAAAACTCGACCTAGACTCTATTACCATGACCTTGGGTGTGACCCCAGGAGCTCCACCTCCTCCACCTCCTCCTCTGCCAGGCCAGTCACATGGCTCAGCAGCTCTGCCTGCACCACCACCACCACCGCCACCACCACCGCCGCCACTCCCTGGATCCAAAGCACCACCTCTTCCACCCCCTTTGCCTGGACTTGGACCTGCACCGCCTCCACCTCCACCCCTCCCTGGAGCTCCGCTGCCTCCCCCGCCCCCTCCACCTGGCATGCCTGGTGTCCCTCCTCCACCCCCACCCATGCCTGGGTGTGGCCCCCCACCTCCTCCTCTTGCCTTTGGTGGCTTTGGCTTTGGCCAGGCCACAGATAAACCCCCCCGTAAGCCAGCTGTAGAGCCCACCTGTCCAATGAAGCCCCTCTACTGGACTAGGATTCAGATTCATGATAACAAGTAAGCACCCTCTGATTTATACAGGCTACCTTCACTTTACAGGCCTTAGAGCTTTATTAGCCTACATGTTTTATTAGTCCATCTTTCTGTCAAAATGGTTCACGTTTGTGTTCATAAGTGAGCTGTATCTATGACTTCTGCCCCAAAGGACCCACATGCTGACATTTGATCAAGTTAGCCACCACTGATGTGCTGCCAACAGTGGATGATGACAACAGTGATGTATGCATGTAGAGTGAAATGATGAAAAAGAAAAAAAAAACAAAAAAACACCAAAAGCTATCTGAGTGCTCATAGTGAGTGAGTGTGTAAGTTAGTGAACTTTGCATCTAAAAAACATGTGAATCCCAATCCGTTCTTTCTTTGTATGGTTGCATGATTACTGATTAGATTTGTATCTGATCTAGGATATGTATCTGAAAGTCACTCAAATGCAATTTAAAAAGATCGACCAGATGTTTGTGTTTACACAGCTCAAAATCAGATGCCATATTTAGGCATACAATTTGATTTGCGCCACTTTTGCCCTAATATATACGTTCACATTACAAGCCTTATTGCTCAGTTTTGATTTTTTGCTCAGATCGGATCTCACTGAGGTCACGTGACCACGATTTGTGTATGTATCTAGGACCACATATGAAAGAGGTTATGCTCTGATTTGAATAGATCAGATTTGTGATTTCACAGCACTCTGAAAACATCAGTTTTGCGTCACTTCTGCCCGGTAATGTGAACATGCACTACAGCTCAATCAGTCATAAAAACCCACACACACTCACATCACAGTGTGCATGCTGTTCTCCACACCTAGTGCAAGAGGTTATGGGGGAAATGGAGTGCGAGCTGCTTGTTTTAAAGTGCCTGTGGTTTATACAGCTGAAGAGCTTGGAGTGCCAGCCCAGGAGCTTTATGGCCTTGTATTACTGTAAGGGGGATTAGGAAAGGATGTACAGTGGTGCTTCAGAGTCCTCACTCACTCCAGGAACCTTGGGGGTAATTGAGGTTTTCATGTTAGCCATCAGCGCTACAGTAAAAGTGTTAAACCAAACTAAAGCCACAAGGCTGTATGTCTGTGCTGCAAATTTGAGACCCCCTATGCATTTAATGTTTAGCCACACATTTTCTTCTAAATGGATTAAAAGTACAGTCAGTGAGTTCAAAATAACAACAAAAAAATTTTAATCTCTTATACTTCCAGTATCTAGCCTTGTATGGTTGTAACATTATATAGTATAAAGTCATAACAGTGGCCTTCACAAAGTATCCTAGAAAGGGAAAATGCTAAACAATGTGTGAACATTGGCTGGTCTCCACCAACACACTTTCACCTGTTTTATTGCATCTATTTGTTGAAAGGACAGTAGGCTCCATTAGAGCTATTTAAACCACAGGGCTAAATGTCAGGCAGATCAGTGCACATCACATCCATTTGTGTTCTTCTAGGGAGAGCAACACTTTTGCAATGTGAGGCTCCCAAATACTTAAGATTAGACTCACTTGTCCTTAATTGAATCACTGGCAACACAGTTGATTGCTGCGGTATTGTATCCATGACCAACTGCTCGACCCTTTTTGTTTTTCTGAGAAACCTCATTTCTCGCTTGTAAAATCCTTCACTGAATCCAACGCACCCTGCCAGAGTTCTGGTTAATGTCTAGGCTGCTTATTATGTTTGGTGAACTATATTCAGAATATTTTGCTGACGGAGGGCCCAAGATTAGAATAAGACATGACGAAAAGAGTTTTAAGCAATACAAAATAGTGTTTCATGCAGTGAATGCAAGACCTGCAGTGCACAGTCTTTCAAGCACAGAAGTTTATGGACATTTATGGGAACCCACCAGATCCATTTGACAATGCTTCATTCACACTTGATAAAAAGATGATTACCAAAATCCTAAAGGTTTTGCTAAACTGAAGGTAGAAGATTGTTAGATTAATAAATCCCACCACTTTTTATCATTTTTTGATGTGTGTTATCATTTGGAGAAAAGCTGCTGTACCATCTGAGGTTATTTTCCAATTTTAGGAAGAAGGAGTGGAAAAGGAAGGTAGCAAAGGGAGTCACACAAGTCACTGTTAGTCTCCCTCGCTCATGACTAGACAGCCTGTTTGTATTGTCCATGTTACTCAGCAACACCCGAAATCAAATACCTCTCATCCTTAATGACGCAGTAGTTCTGCAGGAGACAGTCGTTCGATTCTGGAAGAACACTCAAGTAGAGATTGCAGAGTTTTGCCAAAGCACCTGGGACAAATTCTGCTTTCTAGAAGACTTTGTCTCTGTAGGCTCACTATCAGTAAAAAATGTCTCATCTCACTTCAGACAGTGCAAATAAAAGTTTTGGCACAGCTGAGGTAAACATTAAGGAAAATAAAAGCATTGTTTACAGCTGAGAGAGAACAGTTTGCCTTGGTATTTCCAGAGGTGCTTTTTCCACTCTATATAATCCTCCCTTGCTCTGTCACTGGCTGTTGCTCTAATGGCATCTGAAATACTGCATGCACCTTAATTGCACACTGGTACAGTTAATGTGTCTCTTTTCCAGTAATAACACGCTGTGGGGTTCTTTGGAAGAGCCAGACATAATTGACACAAAGGAGTTTGAAGATCTTTTCTCCAAAGCCACACTGCAGCCCAAGAAGAAGCCTCTTTCTGACACCTATGAGAAGAAGACCAAAGCTAAGAAGGTATGTACCATTCCTTCATGCTGCCATCCTACCACGACAACACATCTGTGCCAAATTAGTGGGCTAAAATATCCTCTTTCGCCATGTAATAGCGAATCATTCCGAGGACTCACTATATTTGCTTGACCATTTCAAATGACCCGTTGTGCCAGCATGCTTGTGAGTGCCTTGTGGTTTTCGTAGGTTACTGTAGGTTACGTATATTTACACTATTGTCCGTATATTAACACCATTGTCATCTCCTCTATGGACTCGCTATGCGTCGATGGGGGGAGCACCCACTGCTACCACTAGAGGACGTTTGAGGCACACTATAGCTCATGCTTCAGCAACATCACACGTACATTCTACTTTGCATTTGGTTCTTGAGATTGTTTTCTTGGAAGGGTGTCTCTACAGATGGTTGTTGTAAGCATTTCATGAGCTGTGAGTGACATTTTAGAAGTAGAGTGGCTAACATATTGGCTTTATCTATGTAGTTCGTCATGTTATTTGCTGTATTGTTATATACAAACTGTTTCATGAAGAATGTTGAATAAGATTAAGAGTTGCCCTTAATTTCCCATGTGTGTCGATGTGCTCTATGACCTTGGACAAGAGGACTATTCCTTATAACAATTGCAGCTTCCTAGATTTGTACAGTGGTATGTGGATATACAAACACCACATCTAAATTGCATTTTTGTGCGTTTCTCTGTAGAAGCACTTTTTTGCCATATAACCATAATACCACTGACTCATGCCATCACCTGTTTCAAATAGGAAAAAGATAGCTAGAGCCTTAATCTTATTGGCTCAGATATAGATAAGATGCACATCCTCTTTTTTATTCAACTGTTTTTTTAGGATATGCCTGACTACAACTTTTCCCTCAGTGCTAATGATTTATGAATTTATGAATGGGTCGGTTCCACAATTCTAATGTGATACTGCTACAGAACATTTGACATCATGGTATTACTAGCTATAGAAGTGCAGCTTTGACAATAATGGTCCTGTTCGGCAAGTCAGCACTTTATTCTGGCGTCCAGGCAGTTCAAAAGTCAGCCACTGGCCCAAGTGGGCCTGTCTAGCCCTCCTTCAAATCCATACACAGTCCCCCACTGATCAATCAGTTAGGGCACCAAGTCGCCAATGTGTGCATGTCTGGTCACTCTGGCCTCGGAGTTGGCCTCGTCTGATCTGATTTCAAATGGCCACAGGGAAAAGCCTTGCCAGCTGCCTGTTGCCTTGCGTCTCCACAAACTGCAGTCCCAGCACTTCATCACTTCATAATTCTGTTGAGATTTCAGTACACACTAGAAAAGCTAAAAGTATTTCAAATTGTCTGAAATGCAGCATTTATACTACCCTTTTCTTTTATTTCTATAATAATCCTGTAATACCTTTTCTTACATATCTTTCAAATAAAGTTTTAGTACCAGTCAGACAGATAGATCTATCTGAAGTATCACTGCAAGCTGATCCTGAGCTCTGTGGGCTCTTTGTCAACACAACCTCCACTGGTGTGAAACTTCAGTGTTTAATATTCCAGTACTGAACTGTAAAACAACAGTTTCATCATCCAGCGATTCAGTTGAGTCGTTCAGTGATTAAAAGGAATAGAAAAGGGATTTTTTTTGTTTAATGTCTCATTTAGGCAATATATTGTAACAATTATTTAAACATCACTCAGGGTAAGGTCAGCTATTTCATGAAATACCTATAAAAGGAGTATTTTAATAGGATTCATATTTTCAACCCTTAGATTCTTCCAGTGTTTAGAATGGAGTGCAGCCTTAGCCTAATTATAATCTTGATGAGTTTTCATGTACAACCAAACAGCTGTAGATCTGGATGTTTTTGTCATTCCCTGACTACATCTTTACTATGACTGAGCAAAAGACCAGAGTGGGGCAGCAGCCCGAACAGAAGAAAAGAAAAATGTTTATTGGGCTCCGTATATAGATACTGCCAAAATTGTACACTTACGATTCACCGAAAGGTCCAATCTTAACATACCTCACCAGTTATCTTCTATGAACACTATACAGACAGCCTTGACGCCTATTTATGTCCTTGTTATTATGGATCTCATCCATGACAGTCATTTTCAAACAGATCCCTTACAACTTATCTGTTTCATACATAGTATTTTTAGTTTAAGAGCATTAAATAGACAATAATAGATATAAAATGTCTAGTCTACTGTAAACAATTAGGTTAATGTTAAATGCTAGTGAGTTGAGTTGCATGTCTTGGGAGAATCAGCTTGTTTGAGATATAACAACAGCGAGTAAACTAGCAAATTACATTGTCATCTTTTTTATTAAAGGTGCAGTATGTAAGATTTCATGGTATCTAGTGGTGAGGTTGCAGGTTGCAACCAACTGAATGCCCCTCCCTCACCCCTCCCTTTTCAAGCGTATAGTAGAACCTACAGTGGCCGTCATGTTTTTGCTCCTTTGATGACGAGGATTCACCCTCCCTAGGTTTTTCTTGTGCTAAATGTGTATGATTCTCCATTTGTCAAAATTTGGGTTCTCAAACTTCTCACAACACAAAATGTTTCCTATTATTATAATAACTATTATTGCAACTGCCATTTAAATTGTGATTATTTTTTGTAAATTAAGGTTTAGACCTGTTTTTATTTTTGCCAAGAAGAATATTCACTTTTTCTGGCTTGAGGCTTGACCCCAGAATGTAGTGTGCTAGACAGCCAGTAAGTTCCGGTTGTGATGTCACAACACATGGAGATTTGGTTGCCTTTGATTGGTCTAACTTATCTACAAGCAGTTCACTAGCTCTCTGTTATTAAGTTAAATATCCCCTCTTAAAACTCAGGACAATATTGCTGATAATAAAGTATACAATTACAATTTTCAATTAGTGCAACTGCACTCTTAAATTTTGAGACAAAATCAGTTACTCTTAAAGCCCTACTCTAGGCGTCTGTTATTGTGGCTTATTATTATTATTATTATTATTATTAACAGTAATAGGCTTTGTCTTTTTTGTTTTATGTAACAACGAATGTGCATGTGGACTACCAATTAAAAAAAAAACAAAGATCATGAGAAAAGTGGGTACTTCTGCATCTTAAAGCCATGGACAGCACCTTTTCTGGCATTTAAATCTTGATATCCTGATATTCTCCTACAGGTAAATTTTTCATACAACAACACATAGTGAAAAGCAGCTGCAGGCTATAATTTTACAAAATTACAGCTCTTGCGATTTTGTGATTGCAATTTTAGTTGATCTTTCAGCCCTGCTTCCAACTGGTGCTGTAGGGCCACCAAATTCAAGCTGTCATTTCAACGGAAAAACATGAAAGGCACTCTCTAGAGCCAGTGTTTGGTTTGTCCGTTTGGGGCTACTGCAGTAACACTAGAAAAAGGACTTGCTCCCTATGTAGATATGAAGGGCTCGTTCTAAACTAATGAAAACACACCCGTTCATAGTTACAGGTGATTATACACTAATAAAAACATGGTTTTGTGTACTATATTCCAACTCTATATTCCAACTCATCACTCTAAATCTTACATACTGCACCTTTAATTAAAAGTAATATTTTTATGTGGGGCCCGTTAATCTTTTAAGATCTTTTAATCATTGATCTTTTAATTTTTTAAGATCCCATAAAATCCAATTTAGTCTTGGTGACCCAGTGCTTTGCTCATTTTTGTTTGTCCCTACTCTACAAATTTGACCTAGACCACGAGGATCTTGTTAATTAGTTAATGGGCTGAATCTTGAGTGCTAGATGAGACAAATTGCTAAAATGTGCATAGTATGGGGTTGCCAGGACTGGATTGGGAACCCCTGGTTTAGCAGCTTCATTGAGGATAAATGATAAAAAAAAAGAAAGCACGCAAATCTAAATAGCCTAACACCAGTTTGGGATGAAGTGTAGATGCAAAGAGGTTAGAACTCAATCTCAAGCTTTGATTTGACAGTTTTGCCAACATCAGAATGTGTAAAATTTCAAAATTATTTCCTCTCTTTGATTATAATGTAACCCAAAAAAATAAGCACCACAGAGTGTGTCTGGATAGCTTATTTACCCAGTCTGCATATCTATGAGTGTGAGAGAGAGAACGTGAGAACGAAAGTGAGAGAGAGAGAGAGAGAGAGAGAGAGAGAGAAAAATTTGGGCCATGAAAAATTTGATGACACCATTATTAAGTTTCAACATTGTGTCCGGTAAAAGTGAGAAGACAGATGGTTATTGGCACGGGCGTCTTGGCAAAGCGGCGCAATTTCCAGAAGGTCAGCTAAACAAAAGTAACATGTTTACATCTCCATCTTTTATCTGCGCCTGTTTACACTCCAAGGTACGAACGCTTTTCCTGAATCATCCTTCTGAGAAGTCATGCTCACTGGCCGAGGCCAGGAAAGAAAGGGGTTTTGGGCAGTTGCGTGGAGAAATTCAGGAGGAGGGGTAGCAGGCCCAGCCTGTCAGCCAGACGTGGACTTCTGTCAATTTTTCCTATTCTGGCCCTCCTTACAGTGCAGTATAGGAGAAACTGACAAGCCAATAGCAGTAGCTCTGGCCCTCCGATAGTGGTCAGGTGAGTCTGGATGTAATCGATGAGCAGCTCAACTGGCCAGCAGAGAGTGATGACAGTGCAGGCGTATGGGTGTGCTTGTGCGTGCCTCCTCTCAAAGTGTTGCCAGATTGGGCCTGTCGCCTTGGGGTGCGCGGCTGTTTTGGGAGAGGTGAGGAAATGGTTGGAGTCTGTAGGTGTTTGGGGAAAGTATGTGTTTTGATCTGCACTGGCATTATGGAGATGAGGTTTGTGTGTGTGCGCTTTATTGAATCTTCGCGTGCAAGTACTACTGCGCATCTGTTTATGTCTCCCACTATCTACACAACACATTACCTTGAAATATAATCATTAAAAACATCAAAATTCTTTTTTTTCAAAGATTATCTTTAAAATGTGTCAAACTATTTAGCATCTCATGGTTGAAACATCCTTTTTCATAATTCATCTGTTATAGATTATGAAAAACTCTCATAACATTCACTCAGTCCTGTTACCTGAACACATTAACCCCTCTGAAATATCAAGTCATGGAATGTTCAGTAGGATGTTTCATGAACTAAGTTTTATAATGATATTGTATACCCTGTTACCCAAATAATACATTGAAAAGTAAATTATTCATTCATTTATTTAAACTAAAAATGTAATTAAATCATCAGAATGTCCTTAAATGCATGTTTTCTTAGATTCGATGTTGAGTTATGTAAAAAAAAAAATGAAAGCATAATTCTATGAATTACACAGGGCAAATGTCACCCTAATTGTGGAATCACCCACATACATATTAGTTTTATAGTAGTTTTTAAATAATTCATAGTATTTTCTGAAAAATGAACTATAAATAAATAACTTAATAATAAGCCCTGGGTCTAAGGGGTTATTATTGAAATCACCCTTAAAGTGTTTAAAACAGAGCTAGTCATCTCATCTCTGTACACAATTACATAAGGTAGTGGTGCAGGGGGGCTAATTTGTATCATATGTCCTGATCCACACTATGTGTGTTCTTGAGGCCTTCTGCCTCGCTTCTGATTATCATATGAAAGAAGAGGAGATGACACGAAGCAAGTGGAGACTCTGTCATCTCAGTCAGACTAGTGGACTAAAACCTAATTGCAGGCATGTGGCTCCGCTTGGGTCTGGGGCACTGCTTGAAAGGGAAAAAATAAGTGCTGGTGCTATAATGCTAATGTTGCAGTTGCCCCTTTTTCAAGCATTTGTACTGTTCATCAACAGTAACTTACATTAATTATATACTTACATTAACGGTATTAAGGGCAGCTATAGCACTAACTGATGTCACACTTGTGGTGGTGGTCCCTTTGCTGAGGTTATGTCTCACAGGTAAGATGCTTATTGCAGGTATCTTGCAGTCTTCTCATTTTGAAGCAGTGTTATGTGTTCTGACTCTGACATTGTTCTCTTATTGCCTTTTTGTGACCAGGCTAAGATTGTAAGATAATATTACTGAAGTGTTTTTTATGTACTAGGCTAGCCACTAACAGGAAAAAAAGAAAAAGAGAAGTATATGAGAAATTAACTTTAGAATACAAGTTGATTTGGATAATATGTGCCCTGGGTAATGAAGTAATATGAATAGATATATTGTCCAAAAGTATCCAGATAAGCCTTCTAATCAATGATTCAGCTACTTTAAGAATCACTCATTGCTGACAGAGGCTCTCAGTTGCATGCACACACTGCATAGTCTATACATCTACATATAAAGCTTTTTAGTATCATCTAACATCTAGTATAAAGCTTTTCCAGAAATGTAGAGGCTGTTCCTGCAGCAAAGGGGGTCAATTTTTTTTCTACATTGGATGAGCAGTTTTTTGGACATTTGGGGTCTTTTTCCATAGACAGGGTTTAAGCCTTTTCTTTCAGTGAAAAATCTCCATTCAGAATGTGGTGTAGTCTACCCGTCCACTTCAAGCACTAGTCCGGGGGATGTCCACAGCTGTCATTTAAGGCAGAAGGCCCATGCAGTTTCCTTCAGCATTGTGGTGTGTCTCAGCATTGTTAAAAATGATGAGATACACTACACATCGTAAAAAAAAAATACATCCCACTCTGCCGCTTTCTTTGTCTCTACCTGCAGCACAGGCCTGTAATATGTGGCCTAATGCATAAAGATCATACGGCGATTTCAGTCGCCAGATGAATCACATTTAATACGCAGTTTGTACAGCGGTAATACTGCTCAAACAAACTGACATTTTAATTGGTCCTGACTCAGAAGTTCTGGAATGACTTGCAGGCCCCGGCACCTTGTGTTTACCAAGCGGCTATTTTAGGACGTGGTTTGACGTCTAAGAGTGGGTTCAGGATATGTTAGCCTGGGTAGACCTGGGTCACGGTGCTCTCCGTCATAAATTCCTGAGTCATATTTTTTGCTTTGGCAGTGTTGTGTATTTCTATGAAGAATCTAGACCTCAAGATTTCCCAAAATGTGTTGTGCAATAGTCACAGTATTAAAAATACAGACACAAATAAGTTGAGCTATTTTGTCAGCTTGAGTTGACCCAAGTAAAAACTTACTTTTGTACTTTGTATTGCATACTTGCGAGTGTATTATTTGGATTAAAGATCACAAGGTGAATATGAAGGAAAAGTAACAAATACCAGCTTTGATTTCTAGGTAATTTGTGTGTTTTATCATTTTGAACCTATAGTGCATCTGTACCCAGACTTCTCTTGAAGGAAAGCAAAGAAAAAAGAATTAAACTAGAATTTTTACCGGCACACAATAACCGTTGAGCCTGTAACCATGTAATGACATTATGTTTATCTTCCTTTCATGCTTTGCCAAGCCTTTGCTGCAGCCATTTGCAAAGGTTTCTGAATTGAGTCTTCTATTCATTAAATTAAGTGTATGCTTGATTGGCCTTCTCCTCTCATAATGTACTTGCTTGCTTTGTGTTGTTGTAAAGTGAAACACTTTGTAATACATCTAAATTAGTGGTATTTTACACAAAATAGACAGACATTGTCAATATCATCATCATTTTTAACTTTATTTTACTTGTTTCTTTTGCAGTCAGTTACCTGCAAACATCAGATTATTCCAGCACTGTTGAAGATGTTGCTGTTTTAACTGGCAATATGTTTGTGAAGGTTTTCAGTAATCCAGGTCACTGAATCATGTAGTGGCTGTAAGTTAAGGCAATTGGCCTTGTAATGTAATGTTGAGGATGCTTGGCTATTATAAAGCTATTGGAGTTTTTAATAACCTCTGGTTATTTTTTGATACTGACTGCAATTGCTTTCCTGATCATTGCTGACTTCTAGGAGCACAGTAGACTTCATTCCATCCATGTATCTGCTTTTTTTCTCTGAATATGTCAGCTTTTGTTGGCTATTAGACAGGCATATTGCTTCAGAGCATCACTGTGTAACTTAGTCATAAACTCCAGAGAAAGCACTCTCTTAAAAATTTTTATTCTCCCGTAACCATTCCAGTATTCCGGTACTGAACCATGAAAAGTGTTTAATATTTAATGATTTAATCATTCATGAATCCAGTGATTTAAAGGAAAAGAAAAACAAATTTGCTAAATAAATGACCTGCATTAAATGTAGGACTAAGGTTGGAAAAAAGCTCCGCAAACATCCTATCAGTCTGAAACTGTAAGGGAAACCAAAAACTGTGATTTAATACATTCCTAAAGGTCACAAGCAGATTTTCTAATTGGATCCATCCACATTTTCTAATTGGATGGATTCCATCCATCCATGATCCATCCATCTGTCCTTTTATATTTAAACAGCGGTAGCATGCCACAGTCCTGTGTTGCCACCGATGCATTAGCTCTGTTAGGCACCAGTGCTAATTGGTGGCCCCAGTCAGCCGTCGTACGCTGCAGAAGTTTTAAGGCTGGTTAGCTTTAACGCTGCAGTTCATTAGAGGTGTTAAGAGAGGCTCTCCCTCTCTTGTAGTGTCTGTGGGAGGGGAGGCCAGGGGAGATCCCCAGTGACATTAATAATGAATGCAGAAGCAGCATGCCCACTTTGCCGGCTGTAATGCAATACTCACTTCTAAAGAGCCCTCGCACCGGTTCCCACTGAACACCTCGGTAGCTCAGCGCCTGCAAGGGCGCTCAATGGCTACCTAATGAAGAAGTCCGAGACATTAACTTTTAGAGCTGGGCTTTAACTTGCCAAAAACTGTTTTGCCCTTTATGGGGATATTTAGTCATATGTAATTGTGACCATGTGTAGGTGCAAATAAAAATCCTGTGAATTTATAGTTTGTTATAAAATCTGTTAGCCTGCTCGTCCAGGACCAAAAGATGTCCTTTTATGGTTCCACTTTTCTCCATTTTTATTCACAGCTGCATCCTAGTTAGGTTTGTATCACATATGACTCAATTAAGGGTTTTTTTGTACTGTCAGTGACAGTATCATATATCCACATGAGCGGGCTAGTTAGGCTACATCGTATATCGTCGGTGTCAAACAAAACCTCCACATTTGTTGTTTTAATTTTTTTATGTAATTTGAAACACCAGTTGCACTTAAACATTGATTCAAAATTTTCATAACAAATGGTCCAACATTACTTGGAAAAATCTGATTACATTAATATACATTAAAATTTAAGAATGTTTTTTCCTTCTCCTGTTAAGTTGCTGTGTTGGAGTTGGAAGGTTTTGATCTGACAGCAATGATATAGAAACAACATCAGTTCAGTTTAGTTCAATTCAGTTAGGGTCTTTGTGTCAGTATTTTGCAAATACCCACCTTCTACTTTAATAGAAAAACCTACCTTGTACTTCTACTGACTGATCTCTTTATGACTTGACTGAGTGGGTATACAGTTACAGACTGTAGCTCATCTGTTGTGATGCGTTTGTTAGCCAGCCTCTATCCCATTAATCATGGGTCAGTTTCTGACCACAGGACTGCTATTAACCAGATATTATTTGAGTGGTGGACTGTTCTCAACGCAGCAGTGACAGTCGCATAATATTTGCAATATGTGCAAATAAAAAAAACAAAAACCTACAAGACAGGCATTTCTAATAAAGTGGCCAGTGAGCATATTTAAAATACAGACTACGTTACTTCACTCTGTTATCCTATAAATTAGAGAAACTTTCTACTAATAGCAAAGAATAAAAAATGGCAGCTCAATTAGTGCTGGTGATATATAGCTTATACTGCTATGCTATGATATTGACATACCGTAATGTCAATTTTCAGTTTTAGTGATAATTTTAGCAATATGTTTGATCGATAATGAGCAGTATATCCTTGATGCTCATAAAATACCTGTGTTCCTGTTGCCAAAAAGTTTGTTTTTAGTTTTAAAATTTTATTTTGTGCAGATGTGAAGATGTAGAAGATGACTAAAAGTACTGTTTTATCTGTTTGAACTCCTTTCAGATTATCAAACTGTTGGATGGGAAGCGTTCTCAGGCGGTGGGAATCCTAATATCCAGCCTTCACCTGGAGATGAAGGATATTCAGCAAGGTGAGCACAACGCTCACTCCCTCACCCCTCCTCTTCAACTCATTCAACCATTTCCCGGCTTTCTTAAGTGCCCCCCTCCCTCGTTTAATTGCACGCCGATAGACTTAAATCGTTCTTGGTGTGCTTGATAACTCACAGATGGGCTCAGTTATTTTTAGTGGGAGAATATGTGAGCAATACGCAACTGTAATTTTCTCTCTCTTTTGCCGACGTCTCTTGATTTGCTTCCAGTTGGCCTTTTTACAAATTTCCTGTGTCTATGCTGAACAATGCTGGTGTTTGAGCGAAGCATGTTAACAGTGTGTATGTGTATGTTTGTGGGGCTCCAGTGACTAAGTTAACATGCATCATAAGAATTATGTTAAAGACTCTATCCTTTATTCATTTCCTATTCTTTTTGGAGTTCAGAGGCAGGAAATTTCTCCCATTTGACTGAGGAAACACAGACCGAATGACTGTATGCATGTGGGAGCCAAAGGTGCATAACAGTAAAGAGATACACATGAAATTGGGATGTGAATTTTGGCAAATTCTTTTGAGCGATAACCGACCGTCGTTAGTCGCTGGTTAACTGTTAACTGACAAGCCTAAAATTAAGAACTTAACCCATCAAATAATATATATTATAAACTGAAATCTGATTGGCTGAGCTATGTTAGAAGCATTGTGAAATACTTGATATGCACACAGTTATTCACCATAACTGAATTCTGTATTAAAGCATCAATATTAAAAAGTGTTCCTTGTATAGACCGTGGAATGTAGTACTGATACGTGGGTCAAGCTTCACCATGGAAATGGACTAAAAGTTTTGTTTAAACCCAGAGACAGGCAACTATAATATGTTTATGCTTGTCTGAAAACAAACTAAAAAGTTGATGACATAACTGGGATATGTAATGATGGGCTAAAAGTTCTTTACCATAGAATAGAAAGTTCTATTCTAAATTCTTTACCATTAATTACTAGCATAAGTGAAAACAAACATAAAAGCTATGATCGGGGCTAACCTTGTCTCAGTGTCTCACCTTGGTAGCTCTCGTAAGACGTTGCCATCCACCACTTTTTTGGACACCCATGTATGATTCCTCACACTGCTGTACATCACAGCATGGAGAAATAGTTGTCTGTCTTCTTGCTTGCGGATGTTTGTTTTTCGATATGGTACATCATTGTAGTTATGCTGTCATTATCCTGAAAAAGTGGTCCCGAGCACCACTTTTTTTTAGCTGTGTGCTTCATTTTTAGTAGACCTAGCAAAACCAGTTGGCTATTATGCCATAACATGTACAATTTAAAAACTTTTCTCAAATTAAACTATAGACCCGCCTACTGAAATAGCAATGAAATTCAATCAGCATTTATTTAACCGATAACATTGGTCGAACAGTTGTTTATCTGATGGTTAATGGTTAATCATTTACATCCCTAACGTGAAGTGAGAGTAAGGTAACAGCAAGATATATAAGAGCGAAGAGAACGAATGCTGAATGCTGTGTTTAGATTGGTTGGAGACAGCAACAGTGCAGTCAGTGCCTGCCTGTCTGTGCATGTGGCTACCTCCAATCTGTTTATTTGAGCTGGTGACACTCTCCACATCCCTAATGGGTGCGATCTGCTAATGATCTGAGTGTGTATAAATCCACCAGCACAGAATACACACACACGTACGCCTGGCACATTGGGTCTGGCAGGCTGTTGCTGTTATATTCTTTCTCTCTTCTTCTCTCACTCTCTCTCAGCATGTGTGGACCTCTTAATGACAGGTTTGGTAGAAGTGCAGAGTCTTTGAGTGTCATACTAGAGGAGAGACTCTTAATAAGCACTTCTGAGGGGCTGCCAGCTCCCAGAGCCATTCGCCTCTTTGTTGGCAAATTAAAAAGCCATGGTACATGTAATGCAATTACAGCCACTTGAGAAAAGGTGATTGGGAAGGGGTGAGAGAGAGAGAGTAATTAAAAAGCAGAGGTGGGTGTGGCTATGTACATCTACTTTTTTTCTCTGTTTCACTTTAGTCATTCCCTTTGAATTCCTAAAAATGTCAGTTTTTGAAAACATTAAAACAAAATAAATCCAAAAGGTCAACTGCAACAAGAATGGAAACTTAAAAAGTATAACAGAGAAAAAACATTCATGTTTTCAGTGTGTGAAAGATGATCTAGAAGTGGATATCATCTGTGTTAACCCGTAAAAACCCAAGATGGCGATGTCTCTATCTAATGTAAAGGTGATGTCTTTTAGCAACCTGGCCGAGTCTACTAGCATAGTCTAGTGTTGTGCTAATTTAGCCTTAGAAAACTTATCAGAAGAAAATTACAAGTCCCTGACGTTCAGAGGAAGAATTCACTCGGGTTATTCTACTATCCACCTGGGTCATTCTGCTATCCTATACTATGTTATTGAGGGCAGACTCTCAGCGGCAAGCAGGGGAAAGTGCGGTACTCAAGTCATTCTGGACAGATTTCAGTTTGGCCTCTGTTTTTGTCAAAATATTTACCATAACTAAAACTCCTCCTTTCTGGAAAAAAAATATTAATGCACTCTTAAAATTAACTGAAACAAAACTGAAAAACTAAAAAGTAATGAAAATTTCAAAACTATATTAAGGCCTGATTTGTGTTCCATTCTGTGCTGGATGTTCTAAAAAGTTTGACTACACTTCCACGGAGAACTCAGCACTCGTGACATTTTTTGAGCTTCTGATATTGATAGTGATACCAAGTGTAGTATCACAATGCTTAATTCCCAACAATACTATGTCAAAAAAAGTAAAAAACGTAAAAACACAAAGTACTGGTGTCCTACGCACCTGCCTAATTTTGGACTAAATTTCAGTGCCAATGGAGAATTACCATTGGAAATTCTTTTTAATTTAGGTTTGGTCTTAATAATTGGGAAACTGGCTCCTTTTACTTCTACATAAGCCATTATTTCACTGAATTAAGACTTTTACTTTAGTTGGGGTCTTGGCTGCTCTAATCACCATGCTAACCACTGTGAACTCTGTAACCCACCCGCACACGCGATCTCTTATTCTTCACTCAGTGAGGGGCTAATAGAGGGAAACCAAGCAAGGTGGCGGTTGCTGGTGGCCTTTGATCTGAGGGTGTGGAAAAAATTTCCAGAACACGTCATACCTTTGAACCCACACACATACACACACAAAAGCACACACCCCCAGCCTTCACCTTTGCGTGATTGATCAGATGCCCTACATGCTTTGCAAAAGTCCATTTTTAACACCACTTGGAAAGAGCTCGATCCAGAAGTACTCCTCTAATCTGTCAGCGGGACTGCTGGCAACTAACAAGCTCAACAGAGAAAAGCAGATAGTCAGAGTCTTATTTGGAAGACACTGGCGTCTGCAGAGAGAAGCCAGAAAGCCCTTTCGGCCCATTGAAATGTCTCTGTATAAAATCACAGTGCAACTTTTTGGCCTTATTGTTCTTAGGCTATGGAAACATGATATACTGTACCTAGGCAGGCAAGAGGGTCTTGTCCTCTTCTCTTCTCTTCTCTTCTCTTCTCTTCTCTTCTCTTCTCTGGCAAGGCAGTGCTGATGATTGCAGAGCTGTGGTAGTTCTGTATGTGTGGGTCCTGAGGTTAAGCAAGTACAGGCTTTTGGCCATGACCCATGGCCTACAGGCTTAGTCCCCTACGTGTGTGTTTCTGTGTGTGTATGTGTGGAACAAAGGGGCATCAGATGAAAAATACCTGGTGATCCTGTTAATACAGCCATAGCTTCAGTGCCCAACAATGCATATTAACCACATGCTTTTTAAAATAGGGGAGCGGGGGGGATAACTTAATACATTTTGTTTTTTCTTAATAATTTTTAAAGTACTTGATTATTGATTGTTTATACACGTAACCTGCACATCTCTGCACAACTTTGTTTCCAGCATCTACAGTTAATGACACATAATTCAACCAAAAGAGTTAGAAGTCACTCCATAGATGGATTAATTATAACAGACTGAGATGTTAATTGTAACTGTCGTTAAAAAGTCTGATAAACTGAAGCATTTCAAAGTGCATTGTATATGCAAAATACATGAATTCAGTACAATTCTGTGTTCTTTAAACCAGATGAGCTTTCAAACATAAATACATAAATACACTAAATTTTTATGGTCTTCAGAGTTTAACTTGAGAAATATGTGTCTAATTGCTTTTGGAATTTACTGACAACATTGCTATGGGAACACAAGAGCATGTCTAAAAGCACATCCTACTCAAACACTTTTAGCTGCATAAATGACCTATGCTATATTTTACCCCAAGTTTGTTTGTGCTCCGCTCTTCCCTATGTCCTTATTATGTTATTTTTCAGAAAATATTCTATTTAAGGTTCTGTTTAAACCACTTCATAACTCAGAAATGAAGTCTGATGCTATTTATCCACCAACAATATAAATATGGATATGAATTCATTGCAACAGCATATTGAAAATAAACTTTTTAAGGTGTTGCAGCAGTGCTATGAGTTAATTGGTATTGTGTTTCCAAGTCTAAGTATTAGAGGCACTGCCATCCAATAAACCCAGGTACAAACAGGCTCATGAAACAGTATAGCATGTAAATGTCTTAAGTTTTCAGGGGAAAATATGCACGCGTTCCAAAACAAGAGCTAACGCTAACGAGTACAGCGTGTTTGCTAGGGTTTTTTTCCTTTTTGTCTGGGTACAAGAGCTGCTAATAAACTGATTTACTGTTGCAGCTGTTCTTACCGTGGACAACTCCGTGGTGGATCTGGAGACCATTGAAGCTTTATATGAAAATGTGAGTAGTTTTGGGGCTTTGTAATTGAATAGCTGTCAAAAATTCATGCAGGCCTACTGTTTTCATCAGTTTGTATGTAACATTTAGTCAGTAGCATCAGATATTTTATATAAACATAAAATACAAAAATTAAAATATATATATATAAAATATCTCATGTTTACCACCTACTGCCTTTTTACTTGAAGGACATTGATTTATCTATTTTTTTAAGTTTGTTTGTTTGTTGGTTGATATAAACCCACCATTCGCTGTATTAGTAGTCGCCAACCTTTTATTTGTACTACCAGTCACTGGCTACTTTATGAGGGCTACCTCCACTCAAGGGGTGGGCAATATAACGATATTTATCTTTATTGTGATAAATTGCATCGTATTACTTAACAGAAACAATTTTTCTGAGCATATTGTGCATATTGTACTTAAGGTACTTAAAGAACACTGACCAACTGCACATTCAATTCTTACTCTTCGTTTTAGGCCTGTTTGCTCTTAGTAAGGGAAAAAAAAATGAAAGTACCATTTTAACAATATTTTCAGTGATTGAATTTTCGGTGCATTGCTATCATTTTTTAAAAGTAGCACTGTGAGACTTTTTTCTGCTTTAACTTCAGTCAAAACTCTAAATAAAAATGTATTGTTTTGATGCATAGCACAAATGTCTTGAAGTATGGTAATAGTATATTTTTGCCATACTTTGGCAAAGAGATACAGTTTTGCCAACTATACCATATTGGTCAGTTTCCCAATAATATTATGGCTTCAGCATTGTGTTACAGTGCATGTATGTGGTTACTACAGCATGCATTGCTTTACTAGATATCCCTTGTTGTCTCAATGTCTTTATGATTTTACTTCTGTCTTTATTAGCTGTCCTAATAGGTTGTGTTATATTTTGTCAGTAACTGTTGTGAATTGATTACAGAGAGCTCAGAGTGATGAACTGGAGAAGATCAAAAAACATTATGAGACATCGAAAGAAGATGAAGTCAAGCTATTGGACAAGCCCGAACAGTACGACATATATTATTACTTGATGAAGCTGCTCGTGAGATTCATTTTGTAAAAATTCTTAATTCCTCAAGTTTACTGGTGTGAAATAGGGAGGCAAAATGTTATTAGCAACACAGGATATGTGCAAGTAGGAGCTTGTGGTATTATATCAAAGCTGTATAAAATATTTTTCATTGGTCACCCTACCGTGTCATTTGAATTTAGAGATTTATATGTTGGTTATGTTATAAATCACATAACTAGACACAGAGCTGATTTAGGAGCTTTCAAATAACTTGTAATCTTAAAGAGTCTTGAACATCATGATAAAATAACACTTTGTACACAATTCCAAAATTATTTTTTGTGATTCAGTCTAAAACCACATTCACCAACAAGGCCTTTGTTTTCTTCATTGGTCAGAGTCGGAAACTGTGAATGTGACTAGCAGTAATTACTGAGCCTTACAGTGGAACAAAGCATATTCAGGCAAATGAGTCAGGAGTGGGCTACTTGTTAGCTTTTACTGAGTCATTGAGTCTTTCCCTCAAACTGTGTACATACTGTCTCATGTTTCATATCTTTGATCCTCAATTTAATCACACTTAATTACACTTAGTTACATACAGATTTGTCAGATTGTAACAAAAAGCAGATCTCTATTGATGTATTTCTAGTTAGCATGTAAATTGAACAGAAGTAGCCTGTCACTAAGTTCTTTTGGATAGTGCGTGTTCCTTCCTTTCACTTGATTTCTTATCTTCTCTGCAAAGGTTTCTTTATGAGCTTTCTCAGATTCCGGATTTTGCTGGCCGCGCTCACTGCATCATATTCCGGTCAGTGTTTCAGGATGCTATATCCTCCATTCATCGCAAAGTAGAGATCATCTCCAGAGTGTGCAAGGTATGATCAGGCAGATGTGCCATAATTTGCTTTCTTAATGCCAAGATTTACCTAGTGATGAGCAGCTATGGCAGGATAGCAGTTCAGAGTCACTAGAATGTATTTGAATGTAATTTTGTTGTAATTTGTTGTATTTGTTTGTGTGCTCATATATTTTTGCAGGAGCTCCTGGACGGCAGCAGTCTTAAAGAAGTGATAGGCCTGGTCCTAGCCTTTGGGAACTATATGAACGGTGGGAACAGGACCAGAGGGCAGGCTGATGGCTTCGGTTTAGAAATTCTCCCCAAATTGAAGGATGTCAAGAGCAGGGTACTTACTCACTACAGTGCTATAAAGAGTGCTACCATGCCCCTAAAGGAATTTATGACAGATTAGCATGAAATATTTCCCCAAGCTAGCAAAGGTATTGTAGATAGTAAATTGTAGCTTCAGCCATTAATAGGATGTAAATAGTCTAGTAGGGCCTGACATGAGATACTGATTTTAAGGGGCTAAAAAAAAAAACTATAATATTGGCTGATATAGTTTTATATTTACATTTTAGAGTTTAATTTTATACTCCAATAGTTTTAGCTTTATTGACAGATATGATTGACAGTTCTTAATTTTCACACAAACTCAAACAACAGAAACTCACAGAGTATTAAATAATCATCATTTGTAAATATTGGTTTGTGGTTTCTCATGCTGATTATTAGATTTGAAAACATTTTACATGTTTTTTTGTTATTTTCCTCCTGATGGTGTTTTGTGTTCAAATTCAACAGTTCAGTCTGTATGACTGTGATGTAGCTACACAGGGGTGAGTCATACTGGGTTCCCCCGTGGCACAACCACAAGGTTTTGTGCTGTTGCCAGAGATTGCAAGTTTGATTCCTGGTGATGCTACAATCAAAAATGTTGACAATCATCAATATTTTGATCAATACCAATAAAACCTTGAGTTGTCAGTACTGGCCAATATTTTCGCACAACTCATATATGGGTGTCACTTTAATGTCCAGAGAAGCAGTAAATTATTTAATGTAGTTCAGTTCAGTGGTAAGAAATATAGCAGTATTCAGTTCAAATATATTCTACAGTTTACTTTAACCCTTTATGTCATTTCCATTCATAGGACAACCGGATCAGTCTGGTGGATTATGTGGTGTCATACTACCTACGAAACATAGATGAGGTAGAGTATTACTTGTTAGTAAATGCTAGCTAGTGAGTGCTCAATAACATTTTTTCTATCTAGCTTTGAAATAAGTGTGAGTTTTTTGTTTGTTTCAGAATGCAGGAACAGATAAGAGTGTTTTCCCACTGCCTGAGCCTCAGGATTTGTTCCTGGCTGCTCAAGTCAAGTTTGACGACCTCTCAAAGGACCTACGAAAGCTAAAGAGGGATCTCACAGGTATGGTACTTGGGGGGGGTCGGGGGGGTTCTTTTGTGGTACTCTTTCTAAAGCATAGCAAAATGTGTAGTTTGTAGAAGGGGATGATACAGCTTTGGAAAAGCTTTAAAAAGGTTGTGTCTAATGCCACTGGCCTTTCGATGTTCTTTTAATGCTATTGCTTTCTTATAATTTCTAGTGCTTGGTTATGAACTTTTCACTATGCCCCTAAACATATCGATGAGAATGTATTTACTAGGGCCAGTGTAAGAAGTGAAGGTGTTTGTAGGGGTCTTTTACGCTCAACAAACTCCTCTATAAGCAGCCGGGAGGTTGAGGGTCATGCTCTCAGCCCTTGGTGTCTGCGATTATTTAAATGAACCAATAATACGACATATGAAACCAATTAGATACGTTCTCTATCCTCGCTCCTCCATTCACAAATCACAGTTAAAAAACCCTGATCCTCACTGACCCGGAGGGGAAAAAACACAAAGTAATCTACAAAAGAGTCGCCTACCCACCTCAAGCTGTCTGTCAGTCATTTATTAGGAAAAAATGGAAGACTAGGAGACAATAAATACAACATAAGGGCCTTAGCATTTGATCTGGACCGCAACAAAAAACTTTAAACGTCTCGCCTTTGAGTCCTCAGGGTACTGGCACCAAATCGTAAGGCAGAAATTGCAGTGCTTTGGAAGGAGAACCTTCAACATATTTATTTTTTATCCCCACCACGAGCTGAGCGAGATAAATATTTATGCTGTGCTATCATGAACCACCCTAAAGAAAGCAAGTGTTTTTAATTATACCCCTGGTAATATAGCCCTGAGATTCTGGTACTGAAAAAGAGTTAGTACATGAGTTACACATGTGGAAGAAGGCCCTTTCCATGTTGCCTCTTGTTAGGGCAGTAGTTTAGTATGGCCTGATGGTGTGTTTCCTTGAGCTTTGATATCTCGTCATGGTTCAGCAAAAGGTTCACAAAACGAAGTGCTTCTCTCACTCCTAGAAAAAAAGAAACAGAAAAAAAAAATTATGATTAAAGGGCCTATATCATGGACAATAGACTTTATTTGCTTTTTCTTTAATAAACAAGTTCAGTGTAGTATGTAAACATTGTTAAAATTTCTAAATGTTTTATTCACTTCCTTATACAGTCCATATATAGAAATTAAGCTGCAAAAATGATTTGAGTGAAATTATAAGCAATGTTTTAGCATTGACTGCTTTTTGAATGAGACACAATACAAAGAAGACAACCACAACATGAATTGTGCTTTCAGGAACCTTTTTTGTAGTTTTGTGCTATTTTGATGATTGAATTAATAATTAGTATATTTAATTAATTAGAATTATATTAAATATTTAATAATGTTATAATATAATGTGCCATTGGCAACAATGCAAACATTCTGCTTTCACTGCAGAAATGCTACGGAAAAAATGTATAAGATGAGAAATGATTTGAAATTCATATAAATAGCAAGAATTACATCACATTAAAAGTAGCTCTTACAAAGAAAAAGGTTTGGATCAGTTAAAAATGTTTTTCAGCAGCTGATTGCATCTAAATTCCCTGAATGCATCTTGAACCCCTCAGAAACTGTAAATGTGATTGACTTTAACTGAGCTAGTGGAAAGGTTTTAAATGTGATATATTGAAAAAAGAAAAATTACAAGAAAACAAATTATTTAAACCATACTCCCTATTGTAGCCTTATTCATACATAATTGTTTATACAACTTTGTTGGTGGAATTCATATGATTTTGTGACACTGCACAGGGGAGAAATAAAAAAGAGAGGAGGGAACAGGAGAAAAAGCGAGGCAAAGAAACAGGGTGAGAGAAGTCTGTCTGTATGTTTAGGGAATTGTGGGTCGCTTCACACTTCTTTTCCAGTACCCACGGTGTGGAACATGGGCCATGGCATGGGGTTAGGCTGACCTCAATATATTTAAATGTGTTTGGGACTACTTGGTGAGAAACAGAAAATGCAACCAACTTCTAAGACTGAACTTTGGAGGTGTGGAAAAATATTCCTGCAGATTTCGCTGAAAAAAACTGAAAGCAAGTCTCTGGAAAAGAATGAAAGCTGTAATAAATGCAAAGCATTTTTTCTTCTTGATGCTGAAAGTGAATAGCTTAATGGCCCTTTTTATGGCTAGAAATTAAATATATGAAGGGTAGATTTTTGCACACTACTGTATGTGAACACAAAGCAAAGATTACAGTGAGAGGACTGCTATATTTGTGCTTACGCAGCTAAAAAAGTAAGATTTGTGGAAGGTTAATTTGTACAAATTCCTCAAAAAGCCAACTTAAAGCCATTGGTAAGGGAACAGGAGTTATGGAATGCTTTCCGTTTATAATCCAGGACAAAGATCCACATAGAAACCCCTGTAACAGAATAATATAGGGGATTTAAGTCTAGCAGAATGGACAGAGTTGGCTTGGCTTTACACCAAAGGGTTCGGGTTTTAATTTAATTCCAAAAGTGTGTGTGTAGGTTGTCCATGACTTCAAGAGAATCTCTTTCTAAGGATATACTGGAGGATCTAAGTGAGGATCTAAAAAGCTTCATTGTAAGGAATGAAAAAGAGTACAAAACTGGACCTATGCTTATTTACTTAATTTCTATACTGTATTCACTGATGTTGGGCTCTCTCAGCTTCCTTGCACAATCCCATCTAAGCCACACCAGAAGAGAGCAGCTCCAGTCCCAAAGCCTCCGGGAGCGCTTTCTGCTTCAGAACAATGGGACAAAACAAAAGCGGTCAATTCTATGTTTACAGTGTTTCGTGGACAGCCAAGCATTAATCATGGCGAGAAGAGAGCATAACAACATATGTAAAAGCCTCATGTTGCTCCCATGTTGTTTTTTTTTCCTTCTCTGGCCAGACTTGTCAGCCCTTTTGATTGCGCTGCTTATGAGGCATGTAATTACCATGGGAAGCAAGACCGCAAACTCTTAATCTACATAACCGACTTCACAAAGTGGACACTTAAGGACCTCATCAACGTAATTAATTAATGAAAAGCAAGTTGAATGGAGGAAACACAAAGACCAGCAGAGCTTCACCAGTTTTCCGTTTCTTTTATGTAACTGACGACCAGAGACAAACATGAACGGATGAGTAATGGCTATCAGAGAATTACAGGCTTTGGATTGAGGATGGCGGTTTGTTTCCAGATGAAACACTTGTAGAGATGTTCCTCTGCATCAGGGAGACAGAATACACAGCCCATGGCACTTACATTGATGTTACTGTGCGAGTGCCAGTGTGGGATAGACTTTCAGGCAAAACAGTTTAGTTATTAATCTTAAGAGAAATTATTCATTAATTATTATAAATTATTTTATAACTACTAGGACACTAGTGTGTAAATTATGTAGTAATAAGAGTGAATAATTGAAGTGTAGGCCTACACACAGGCCCCTGCATGGATATTTTTGCTACTTTATCAATTGTTTTCATTTTATAATGCAGTTCTGCAAATGCTGTTGTTGTGTTTATTTGATATGTAAAGAACAGGATCTAACAAAGCTGAATATTAAGAGTTTTACTGAGGATGTGTCACAAACAGCCATTTTGAATAGGAAAACTTACAAGTTTTTTTGAGCCCAGTACCGAATTAGTCAGGTTCATGTGGTTAAGGGGTTAAATTTCTCTTCTCAGTATTATGTCAGATCATACTACACGTTCAAAGCAGGTGAATGGAAAAGAGCTCAGCCTGATCCTCCATGGTGCCATTCAGTCAGTCTTGTCTCTAATGGTTGCGCAGATCTTTAATGGCACCACAAATGCTGCCCTCCTTTCTACATCCTCTTGTCAGTCAGTTTGGAGACAATGCTATATTATTCCAGCCAGTAGGCTGCTGGGCATTTCTTTGGAATAACAATACAAGACAAACATCAGTTGAGCCCTCATGCTAAGACATAAAAATTCCCTTTTTTTCCCCAATCCTCAACAGTCCTTGATGATGAAAGAGCCAAATGAGTGAAAGCGCACACACACAAACATGCACTGATGCACACACACACAGCTTTAGATGTTATGTTTTGGAAAATCTTTCAGGAGAGGAGACTTTTGTCTGGCCAGGCGCTCCATGGTTATTTATATACCAGGCAGTGGATCATTTCCATCACTGTGAAGCCGAAGAATTTCGGCAGATAATCCACAATTATATACAACCCCAGAGCGCTGTCAGAGCGCCGTATAAATCCCAGCTATTACCTTCAGGCTGGCCGAGGCCCACTTGCCTACATAAATCAGCTCTCAGTCCCTTTCTTCCCCACTGCACAGTCAGCTATCTGTACCACAGTGCCCATAGCAGTGAGTTGCTAAAGCTACCATTTGTAGCATTGCCTATATGCAAGGGTTTAGAATGTGTCAGTATTTGGTCCTCGACCACCATTTACTAGCACCTTGTTTTTTTCAGACATTTTATGAACATGGAGAAACTTTGCATTATAGAGTGTTCTGTAGTGCAATAGAATATATATTTATATATATTTATAGTTTTAAAATGCAAGATTAGATTTAATGTGTCAGTAAGTAAAAGTTTTGACCTAAGCACTACAGAAATCTAATTAAAATAATTATCCTAATAAAAATTATTGAGTTCAGATGTTTTAACCACACCCATTGCGAACAGGTGGATAAAATCAAGCACATTGCCATGCATCTCCATCTCCATAGATGGTGGCAGTGAAACAACAGTAAAATGGGTCATACTGAAGAGCTCACTTACTTTAAATGTTCCACTGTCATAGGATGCCGCCTTTGACACAAGTCAGTTTGTGAAATTTCTGTCCTAGATCTGCCCCAGTCAACGGTAGGTGCTACTATGGACTCCTTGCATTCCATGTTATGACATGATATTTCCCTTTTGAAATAGTGCGGCTCTTTCATTTCCGGTAGTATTGTTTACACTGGGTTTTTAAGAGACCCAGATCAAAATGAGTAAGACATCAACTGAAGAAATATTTTGAGCGCCAATGTGTTCCTCATTTCAC